ACTTGATTTAGTAAGCCACTAATACATTACGTGCTCTGCATCTAATTTACACAAAAATAAAGTGAATCATGTTATCTTATGTGCAGACACGATGGAACAGCAGCCTCTACATGCTGCAGAGCCTGCTGCAACAAAAACGTGCTCTTAGTGTGTTTGCAGCTGAGCGCACTCTACCAGCAACACTGACAGCTCACCAGTGGGAGCTGATGAATAAGACTGCTGATGTGCTATCCCCCTTTGAAGAGCTGACCAGGGATGTGAGCAGGGAGACTGCAACTGCAGCTGATGTGATCCCTGCCATAACAGGTAATTTGTATTTTTATTTATTTACTTTATACTAACATTTATTGATGTTGTTTGAAACAAACTATAACCCCATGCATTCATTAAGTCATTCGTTCACTCATTAGTCCTCAGACGTGTTCTGTCTCGGAAGGATGATGATGACCAGGGAATAAAAACAATGAAGAGGACTCTGCTGGAGGCAGTGGAGAAGCGCTTTGCTGATGTTGAAACTGAACCACTCTTCTACATCGCCACTCTTCTAGATCCCAGATACAAAGATGGGCAAGTATAGTAAAATTAAAATGCACCTTTTGTACATCATGTTTATATAAAGTCAAGTTTGGGTAATTTAGTTCAACTTCTAAGGTTAGATTTTTTTATTGTGTATTAATTGAGTACATGTGTATGCAGTTGCCTAACTGAAGTGCTGTGCTATGTGGTGTCTCTTATTGTCTTATTGTTTTGAATTGTGTGTTACTTTTATCTGTTTCTAGCTTTTTCACAAAGTCAGCCAACCTGTTGCTTGCAAAGGAACACCTTATCCAGGAGGTGGCAAAGACAGAGGGGAGGAGGGCTGTCAGTGCAGTGCCAGAGGAAGATGAGGCTGCAGCAGAGCCAGTGAGCAAGGCACCACATCATGAAGCATGTAGCAGCCTGGACATCGCCTTTGAGGAAATCTTACAAGAGAGGCAGTCACAGGGACGGTCCGTGAGTATCACATCAGCAGAAACTCAAGTGCAGACCTACCTCTCAGAAAAAAACACCCCTAAGAAAAGCAACCCACTTCAGTACTGGAAAGAACATGCTAATCAGTTTCCCTCTATGGCTGCTGTTGCAATCCAGTATCTCAGTGCCCCCTGCAGCTCTGTGGACAGTGAGAGACTTTTTAGTGCCGTTGCAAACGTCCTTGATGAGAACAGAAACAGGCTCAAACCTGACAAGGTAGAGATGTTAGTTTTCATTAAGAAAAACATACATTTCCTTCTGTGAAACGTACTACTGTGATGACAGTAAGAGTTAGGAGTGCAGTTCCTAAAAGCACATTACTGCCTTTGCAAACACTGTGGCACTTTTATTTATTTTATATATTTACTGTTGCACTAAAGTCCAAAAGTGAAGAATTTATGTTTATTACCTGATTGTTCAAGCTACCTTGAGTTGTTGAATGTTAAAATAAGGCGAATTCAATAAAAAAAAAGGAACATCCTGGATCTGTTTTTATACTCTTCTTTATTCTTTTTTTATGTATTAAAGAAGTATCGGATCGGGACTCGGTATCGGTAGATACTCAAAATCAAATGACTCGGACTCGGACTCGGGGGCAAAAAAACCTGATCGGGACATCCCTAGTATGCACCCTGTATTTTAAAGAAGAACATTTAATTATTTGCGATACATTATTCATTCACAAAGAATTCAGGGACATTATTCACGTCCCTAAAGGTTGGAGTTTTCCTCATTTTTTTAATTAAGGCATTAAGATTTTTTATTCCTATTTTTAGTCAACTTTAGCATGGGTGTGTTCACTTCTAATTTTAAGCAGTGTGTGTGTGTGTGTATATATATATATATATTTATTTATTTATTTAAAAAAGCTATTTTAACCAGAAAAATCTACAATGCATGCCCAAAGTCGTGCAGCCATATAGTTTCTCTTGATATCAGTCCTGCTGACTTTAACATTCACAGGAGACTGTTATGAAAAATCAAACACCTTGGAAATGACAGGTATGTACTATGTTTCAGGAATGGGACAATGCAGTGTGACTGTGCAAGCCTCTGTCTTTAGATCAGTGTGTTTACTAATGTGCTTTTTTGTCCTTTGTTGTGTATCTTTGGATCATGTTATGTTGTAAATAAATCCAAACAATCTAAAAGCCATTCTTTTTTAAATCTCCTCATTCTTTGTGCAAGGCTCCTCGTAATGATATGGCCTGATAGCACCTAATAGGGCCATTATGGGAGGGTCTTTGTCTTTCTCAGGTGTGAAATGCCATACATATTAATGAGAGATCACGCCTCCTCGCATAAAGCTTTCTCACACTAAACACGTCATACACATTCTAAAAGACTTTATTGACTTATCTGAATGAGTAGTCAGGATGATTCTCACATAGTTTTGGAGCAAATATTCTAGACTATGTGATACAATTTTCAAAAGTCTTGTGAAGAAATAATCAATATGTGTTTTGTGGCCTTATTTCAGAAACTTTTATTTTTAAGTTTTTCAATAACCATGCATAAATAATATTCTCTCAAAAATACAAACATGTACATACATGTTGCTCACAGATTATGGTAGCCCCGTTGGTGCTATATAGAGTGAATTTACACCTTTGCCATTAACATGTTTATAAATAACTGAAAAAAGCACAAATGTCAGTGCATGTCAAAACATCCCAAGGGCCCCAAAAACCTCTTGGTCCCCAGAGGGTTAAGTGTCTATTATTTTTTTGTGGATACTCACAATAAAAACAAAGTGTTGTGCTTTTCGCCAAATAAAGAAAAACAAACATGATGCGAGTTCTGAGTTCTCTCTGTCAGTGAAGTCAATTCTGAAACGTGCCCTAAGATTAACTGTAACTCCGGGAATACTTGTCACGCAGGCATGAGAGATTTTTCTTTATGAAGCTTGAATTCTCTTCTTTTAAATGAAGTAATTTATATAAAAAACAAATATTCTCAGTTTATGTAATCCTTTGAAACCAAGGAGAGGTCCAGTTTTTTCTTTCTCCCCTCATTATTTTAAATGAGTTGAGGCCACCACGCCCCCGGCGCTATTCACATGGTAAATAGGCAATCTATGCATCGCACACGTGGCACGCCCCCCGATCAATGCCATAACAACACGAAGTAACTTTCTTCATCAGAATCACTGATAGTTCATCGCGTTTTGAAGATGGCAGCACGCTACTCCTTCAGAGGATTATGGACAGCAGGGAAAAATTCACCTTTTCCTCAGAGGAATTTGAAACTCACGACGAACGGCTGCATTTTGAAGAACGAATTGACCCCGCCGATGATACAAGCTCGGAGTAAGTTGTTTAGTGTTATATAATTCATTTTCTGATCATAGAGCTCAAATGAATTTTCAGACTATATTTTGCCTAGTTTTGGCTAGCTCTTAACATTTAGGAAATATTACCTATACGCTCGTGTAAACTTTTTGAATAACTGCTTAGGTTATAATGATTTAGTGAAATATATCGATCCGCAAATTTAGCTTGAGCACTTCAGTGGTCTAGTGGCAGATCTTTTGCCAAGCGTGTCAGAGGTTACGGGTTCTAATCCGCCCTCGGTATAGTTTTTTTTCTCTCATCAAAACCGAATATGTTCATCAGTGGTTACAGTCTATATCAAGCAGTTGTGTGCCTTTTATTTTGTGATTTCACCAGAATGAATAGTGTCCGCCGCAACGGCGATAGATTGAAGAGCGCGTCCGAGTGAAGACTGCGCGCGCGCCGCCACAAGAGAACACTGTATCAATCACACTGATACCAGCGGACACGAGCGCTTAGCTTGAATTCAAAAACAAAAAAATTTAGCGCTAGATCTCTTATTTAAAAGCGGACTAAATGAATGCTCTGCTAGTTAACTGGAGATGTTTTATTTGTATTAGGTACATCCGTGCCTCAATGTTTCCAAAAGTGGTGGGTACAAAATGACTCATGACGAAATCTGGTGGGGACGCGTACCCACCGCCCCCACCGAAATCGACGCCTATGCAAATATATGATACTGTCTAAGTAAATACAATATATTTTTTTTATATAAATGTTCAGTTTTGGTTAGTCTATTACCCAGGCTGCCAAGGCAACTGCAAAAGGCTGCAAATATAAATGGACAGATGTCAGCATCAGTGAGATGTACCACTAACTTACCTAACTAACCATCAGCCTTCAGAAATCATTCTGATATGATTTTAAAAAAATCAATGTTGGAAACAGTTGTGCTGCTTAATTATTTTTAACCTGTAATAGTTTTTTTTAGGATTCTTTGAATACATTTTTTTTTGTTTATAAAAAACAACAACAAGTTTGGTCTTTTTATGTTTGGTTTTTTGAAAGGATGTGTTAATAATAATGACTTTAAGTCTTTATGTTCTTAGGAAAGATTTCTATTTTGAATAAATGCTGTTCTTTTTAACTTTTTATTCATCAGTGAATCATTCTTAGTTCAGGCTGCCTCACAGCACCTTGATGGGCCATTGGGGGAGTGTCTTTAGTCTTCCCACCCAGGTGTAAATCACATTAATATTCATGGCCATTCACACTCCCACGCATACAGCAGTGCTGACCAAAAACTGACGTAAGAAATGTAATCGTTATATTGTTGTTTGTGAAAGAGTGGTCAGAATGATTTTCACTTCATTTTGAAGTAAAAATTCTAGCCTACAAGAATAGTAACTCAAAAGTCTTATGGACAACTATTCAGTATGTGTTAAATGGCCTTATTGTGGTGAATTTTTTTTCCCCAAAACGTACTAACCACGCATAAAAAAAATTTTCTATAAAATGCAAACATGTACATCCATTTTGCTCACATATTATTGTAGCAGAGTTTGTGCTGAATACAGCAAATTTATATGTTGGCAAATGGTATGTTTTAAGTAGCTGAAATAAGCACAAATGTCAGGGCATGTCAAAACATCTCAAGGACCCCAAAAAGACCTCAGACCCCAGAGGGTTAAATATTAAAATCTGTCAAAGACTGACCTGTCTGTCTTCTTCTTCTCATCCTCCAGGGCTCGGAGAGTGTGCTGCAGACGATCAGTCAGGATCTCCAGCTCCTGGGTCAACTTGTACTCCTCACGAAACTGCTCCCCCAGTAACACAAGGTCACGGGTGGCGTCATGGAGAGGAATGTCACTCAGGTACAGACCTCTCCTTGTAAGGTCATCCAGATTCATTACACTGACATATACGCAAATGACAAAACACTGGATTAAGCCCATAAATTATCAAAAAGAAACAAAATGTTATTCTTCAAAAAAGTATAACAATATAACTCAAATACTGTATAACCCAATATAACAGTCCCATCAGAAAGTATTTCAACTACATGTCTCATTATAAATTATCAAAGCCGTATTATTGTAGTTTCTAAGTAAAACAGCAGACGATTCAATATAAAACAGTGGGAAGGACACAGATTATTCTTGTAGTCGTGCTTGCCAGTGAAAGAGTGTCTGAACCAAGTGACCTGTTCAACTGTAAGTGGACTGAACTCATCTCAGACTGTGGAATAAGGTACTACCACACATAGTGATTGAAATGAAAAAAAAATCACTTCTGGTTGGATTTGGCTTAAAAGTAGCCTACAGAATAACTGGAATGTAAACATGTTTTAGATACTGGCTCAACTTCTGCTGTACATTGCTGACCATTAGTGTTTTTATTTAGGAGGCAATGGACTGTACTTCACTTCATTATAAATAAAGCAGAAAAGAAACTACGAGCAAGGTCGTGAAATTTCCAAAAAGTACCAATAAATTACGTAACTGATACTTTAGCATTTTAGCATTGTGTTTTTAACATGGTAACTGTAGTTTCCATAACCCCCAAATGCCACTTTATTTTCACTTTGTGTTAATTTGTATATTTTTTAAATGACTGTGGCTCAGACCAACTTACTAACTGTATTGTATTAACAAAATCTAGTTCAGGACTGCTACCTTACACTATAGGCTACTCTTTAATCATCAGCATTAAAGGGGTCATGACCTGAGAAATCAAATTTTCCTAGAGGTTTTGACTTTAAGAGGACATCATGGTATAAGAATATCCTGAAAGTTTCAGAACTGAAAACTTCCTTGTTAGTCCAAAATCAGCTTTTATTGTTACCAGGCACAGCGAATGACTTGTCCCGGAATGTGCCTCTTTATGACGTAATAAGGTAGTGAAAGACTGCCAGAGGAAAATCAATTTTGGCCCCGCCCACTGGCATTAGTGAGATGAGGAAGAGAGAAGAGCACAGGGTCACTCACTGGACTAAAAATAACATTCCAAAGGATGCTAATGCTAGGAATGTGGATATTTATTTTTAACGATGTGAATGTCTCAGTTGAGCATTATTTATTCGTATTCGGTACATTTCACTGAATTCTTTGGTAAATCAGTCCGCAAACTCGGCGCAGGCTTTGCAGGCTTTTACGATATGGACTCCACAGTATTGTATTGCCACAACATGTAAGTAACCCTGTTCATTCTAATGCCTCATCTGTGACCAGTGATTTCTGATGTAATGATTCATGTAGCTACAGTCAGATGTTCTTTATCCTGTCAGTAAATCAAACCAGTGACTAAACGGTCAACTTCACATTGTTTCTCTTAGTAGGGTCTAAATAATCTGTTATTTAAACTGATTGAATTATATATAGAAGGCGATCAAAGAACGCTCTGTTTACAATAGCTGTAGCTGTCAATCAAACAGCGCACGCAGGAGCTGTCAATCAAACAGTGTTTATCAGCGACTGAGTTCTCTCACGAGAGGTTCTATCGTATTGCGTAAGCTAGCTTACGCTACGGGAAAGATTAATCTTTTCTGAATTATTGAAGCCAAAAATTATCCTTAATTTTGTATCCATTGTCAACGCAGTGCAGCAGCTGCAGACCTTGAGCGGGCTATCTAGCGAGCTCATTGGTCGCTCTGCTGGAACTGCTGCAGCCTATGGACGGACAGAATTAACTCGCGTCCAATGAGAGGCCCTCGCGCCTTCATCACGTCCCAGCCCGCCAAACTGGGCGTGGCTAGAGTGTATATTAGAGCTGTCCGAAGGCTGCATCCCTGATTTTCATCTCTTCAGCGAAGCTCTTCCCATCTGATCCACAGAAGCCGCGTCGCCGTCTGAGGGGCATTTTAGCGAGCTTGGACAGCGCTTGAAGAAGCCGGCCGCCTTCGCCACCTTCAGCCATCCGGCAAGCTACGCCATCCGGTGACGTATCCTTTTTAGAGCTAAGCTAGTTCCTCAGGAAACTTCACAAAAGAGCACGAGCGTCTTTTTAAAGATGCCTCGCACCAACTGCGGCTCATGCCGCGCCCCTCTCAGCGCCGGAGACCGCCATCTCATCTGCGTTCTCTGCCTGGGACTGGAGCACGCAGAGCTCGCTCTCACTGACGGCGGATGCGACCTCTGCGAGGAGCTTCCGATGTCGACCCTGCGGGCTCGACTCGAAGCATTTCAAGCCGAAGCCGCCGCGCCGCCTTTCGTCTCGGCGCGCAAGAAAAAGCGCCGCTCCCAAAGGCCGCCGGAACCGATGCTAGAAGCGACCGTCTCGCCGGAGCCTCTCCCTCGAGCCTCGCCTTCACCCCCCCCGCCCTCCCCGGACGCGCAGGTGCCGCCGAGCGGCCGCACTGTTACCATTTCGGATGACGAGGCGGAGGTAAAAGACTGCTGTTCCGTCTTGGCTTCGGACAGCGAGGAGTGGTCAGGCTCTCTCGCCTCCCCCTCGGCCCGCGAATCCAGCAGGACCCGCGCCGGAGTCGAAGAGGAATTAATGCGCCTCCTCACACAGGCCGTCGACCGCCTCGGGCTCGAGTGGTCACTGCCCCCTGAGCAGGCCCCCAACAGACTCAAAGGCTGTTTTCTACAGAGCCGTCGCCGCGCGGCGCCCGCGGCCCGGGCCGCTCCCTTCCTGCCGGAACTCCACGCCGAGCTCACTAAGTCGTGGAGCGCGCCTCTCTCGGCCAGGACCAGCTCCCATGTCTCCACCTCTCTCTCTTCGGTGGATGGCGCCGCCGAGAAGGGCTATTCTTCCATCCCCCCGGTCGAGGATTCGGTCGCAGCGCACCTTTGCCCGCCCTCCGCGAGATGGCGGTCTAAGCCCACGCTCCCGTCTAAGGCCTGCAGAACCACTTCCGCTTGTGTTGGCCGCGCTTATGCCGCCGCCGGCCAAGCCGCATCCGCTCTGCATTCCATGGCCGTCCTACAGATCCTCCAAGCGGATCTGCTTTGGGAGTGGGATGAGAAAGACAGGCACACAGAGGCTGTATCAGACTTAAGGAGCGCGACGGACCTTTCTCTTCGCGCCACGAAAGCTGCAGCCCAAGCCCTGGGAAAGTGCATGGCCTCGCTAACGGTAACCGAGAGACATTTATGGCTAACGCTTGCCGACATGGGGGAAACTGAACGCGCCACGTTCCTCAACGCGACGCTCTCTCCTTCCGGTCTCTTCGAGCCCGCGGTGAGTGGCATTATTGACCGTTTCTCGGAAGTCCAGAAAGCCACCCAAGCCATGAACCCTTTCCTGCCTCGTCGCGCTAGCTCCTCTGCAGGCCGCCCACGTGACCGGCCTCCAGCACGCAGGGCTGGACTGGCCATCGGGCATACCGGGCATTTGCCCGGTGGGCCGACGTGCTTTGTGGGCCGATACATCTCATACTTAATTTTTTTTTTTTTCTTTTTTTTTTTTGAACGGCCCATAAAACTCGTACATCGGCGGCCGATTGCATTTAGTTTTGTTTAATTGGATCTTTGTGCCGGTGTAATGCATTGGACAAAAAAGTCAGCGTAGGTTTTTCTTTTTCTCACAGACCGGCGCAAGATGAAATGCGTAGATCAGTGGCCCATTGGTTATTTTCTTGATTGACACTGGGCTGGTCCAATCACATCTTTAAACTCCTCCCCCTTTGAGCTCTGAGTGAGCGAGCAGTGTGTGTATCTGTCAAAATAGTCAGAGCGATAGAGAAGAAACGCAAGGAATGTGCAGAGAAATAGCGTGAAAAAAGAAACTTCAAAGGCCCTTCAAGTGTCTGATGAGGATAGGGAGGAGGATTAAGGAGAGAAATAAATGATTGAGGAACTGTGGTAAGCAGAACTGGGCTACTGTCACAACACTAATGTTGAAAGTTGAATTAATAGAAACTAATTATGAAAGTTGCTTTTATTTTTCAGTGCATTTGTTTTACAACATATGGCTATTACTGCCATGGGATTAATATTATAACTATTATTATGTAGTAGTGTAATGTAGACACACTATATCACAACTAAAAGAGTTTTGAATTTTTCTTTGTTCAATTTGCACACTGAATATGGGTTGGAGCTCTTTATTTTTAACTCTCAAAGTGCACCAGATTGATGAATTTAACATTAAAAAGCACAAAATTTTCTTACGGGGGAGCATGCCCCCGAACCCCCCTAGAGGAACAGAGGTGCACTCACCACAGATTTCCCTAAATCCTGTGGGAAAAACCGGTATTGCTATCCCAGCTTATAGCTTTCTTTAGGATTCATCACTGTGGAGTATAGTTCAACTTAGTAGTTATTTCATCGGTTAACTCTTACTCACTCCTATTCACTTATGGCATTAGTGGTTTTAATAGGAGTTGGTATACATATTCAAGGGCGTGCAAATTTCGGTTGTGTTATATAGTGGGCCAGTCTGAGCCAAAATGCCCGGGCCGATTTTTTGTCCCAGTCCAGCCCTGCCTGCACGAGACTCTGCACAGCGCCCAGCTCAGCACAGCCAGACCTCTCAGCGTCGACAGGGCGGCCGCCCTAGATCGCGCTCAGACAGCCGCCACAGACCGCCGCCCCCCCGCGGGCCTCGGCCTCAGATCACGCTGAAACCTGAGAAACCGAAGTCCTCCTAGCTGCGCTGAGAAAACGACGGCTCAGTCCCGCCACGGCCGGACTGCCATCGAAGCTTCACCCCCTGTCAGTCTAATAATCAACGAATCTCTTAAGCCCTATTCACACGGGATAAGTATTACCTGGTGACCTCTAGTTATTTGTAATAATTGCGGAGGTTGTCTGTGATCTTAATCCCGTGCGAATCGGCCATGTCTGTAATTTGTAAAGTAAAAATTCCCCCACAAATGACCTACCATATTTCGCCGCACACCGAGGTCCTGTGATAATATTAGTCCCGTGCGAATCGGCGTCTCTGTGATTTGGCGGGATCGTATATAGTTTTTTCATGGTTTTTGTTTCATGTGCGCCTTTTTATCCATCTTTCGCAAAAAAATGGAGGCTGCGCTGGAGTGTTTTGATGGTATTTTGGGTGCTGGGTCATATCGCTATACACCATACAACTACACAATTTGCAGAAAGAGAAAATCATCAGAAGAGCAAAAATAAAAAGATTGATTTGATGGAGATGAATGACAAAGCAGCATGCGGTAAGGAACATATTCTGTTTATGTCATGATATATCATACAGCTAGACCTATAATAACGACAAGACATTTCCAAGCAATAGCCTATTGACGTCTTAAGTCAGTAAATTTGAGTAAAATCACAAGCTTCGGTTATCCCGTGCGAATGCGCCACACGAGATTCAGACGTGGGGGGGTAATTTCTAAATCACACGAGGTCCCCAGATAGTACTAATCCCGTCGAATAGAGCTTTATTTACATTGTGTTTGCACTGTTAGTTATGATGAAAGCATTCGTTAGTGTGCAGAAATTGAGTTGCAATGACGAGATCGCTGCATACATGTCTGATCGATCGGCTATGCTCATCACTGCAACCCTTAATGCCACAAACTAAATATAAAGCCATAGATCTAATTGTAATGCTATTATCACTTTTCATGAGTAGTTAACATTGAGAGCTGTAATAGTAAAAACGCCAATCACAGCAGTGGGCGTTTACACTGAAGTCTCTCAACAGAGAGACCCTTCAAACCGAGCTTTCAAATCAGACTAAAATCAGGCTAGGAAAATGCCTTTTATTTCTAAATTATGAACATTTTTGAAGTAAAAATCATAATAACATTATAAGTGCACCCCAGGAAACATTATGAAACAATAAAACAATGCAGTCAGAGACTATTAATATAGAGACATGCCACTTCATCAATCCTTAATACAACTACTGTATATAGGGAAAACCCGTAACGCCAAAGATGGCGGTTGTATGCACATGTCCCGCCCCTCCCGCTGGAAAGCCAATCGTCTACTTTTAACAGTCAAGCCGAGAAACATTTAAGCCTATCGTCTGGTTCCACTGACGCATGCGCACAGTTGAGGTTTGCGACAGCGCAAAATATGTTACTGTTTGAAAAGGCGGCAGATTCGATATGCAGTGTATGTGTGAGTTGTGTAATATCAGACATCAGAAGTCTCCCGCAGATTGATAGCGGCTCCCTGATGCCCGCAAATTAGTTCAAATCTCCCGGAATCTAGAGCGAGCGAGCAAGAGCTCGCACATACTGTGCTTCAAACTGTGTAGCGCGGGCACAACCGAGGTAGAGAACCCTTGCGCATGCGTAGTAAAAGTATGTGGGGAAAAAGGCGTTTTAAACCTTATTTTGGGGCAAAGTCATCAAACTTTTTCAGCGATTTTTATCATATTTTACTGCTGTTTCTATACATGCAGTTTTTATGTCCCGGTGACCAGTGAAACTGCAGTTCTGACTCTCTTAGATAGGAGCCTGGTCTTGTTAGTCCGAAATAGCTGCCCGGAGGCGTTGCCAAGATGGCGGCCGAGTGGCATGACTTGCCTAAAAGGACTTTGATGCAGTTCATGACCCCTTTAATCATATTCTTACTATTTATGTGCATGTTAAGTAAAGTGGGACGGTAATTGTGTGTGTTAACCATTTTTGTAAAATATATATATATATATATATATATTAGGAATTAGGTAAAACTCCTACAAAAATTGGGACACGGCTTAATGACCATGGGGAAATGGGGTCCCATGGCAAAACCAGTTGAAAACCACTGGTTTAAGCTTTCCATCTACCTTGGTGAGCACAGAAAAAGGATGTTCTCAGTCTCAGGAAGTGAAATCATCTGGCCCTTCAGTCTGAGACAGCTGATCTCTGTTCCTGTGAGTTCATCTTCACTCTCAGCAGTCTCTACGTTCAGCAGGCCCTCCTACATGAAACAAACCTAAACTTGTATTTAACTAATTTAAATGTTCATATTTCTTACAACATGCATTGTAATCCTTGTATTTGTATATGAGTGTGTGACATGTACTATAGAACTGATAAACACACTTGTGTCAGAAAATATTAACCACATTTTTGTTAATGATTGTTGGTGGTTTTTATATCAGACTATATGTAATGTGTTTTGAGGCAGACAGACCTTACTCCGCAGCACAAAGACAGTGTTGATGTGAGACAGGATGCCATGGAAACTAAAGTCTATGTGCGGCCGCACCAGAGAGAACACTGAGGACAGGTTACAGACGCCAGGCTGCAGCTGGAAGATGACACACATAACTTAACATGTTACTCCACCACACTTTATATATACTTTCTAAATCTCTCTCTTTTATATTCATAAAATAAACTATATATTTTGAGCAGACAGACCTGTGGCAGAACTCTAAAGATGGCATTTCCACACTGTGAAAGCATGAGATCCTTGTCAAACATCAAGTGGAATGGGAAAGCCTTGCAGAAGGTGTATGGACTAATCCGTGTCTCTTGAGTCCCATTCTCCTCAAAACCATCCAAGTCTTCATAAAATGCCTCTTCCTCTGAGTCCTTCTCCTCAATCAAGAACTTAATGTGATCACATTCTTCACTCTTCTGCTGAATAACCTGGTACACCCCACAAATAACAGATTTAGAGTCTCATTTGGAGAATACATTTCCAAACATTAAACATGGTATGAAGGTAACAGAATGGAAATACTTGTATGGACTGATACAGGGTTATTATAGTTAACTAAAACTATAAAAATCATTACTTGAACTAAAATAAACGTTAAATGAAATGAAATAAAATACAAAAACACCTTTTATTACAGCTTGTTGCCAAGGCAACATTTTTCATTTAGTTTAGGTTGAAGAATTCAAGAATATAATTATTTTTACTGTATTTTATTTAATTATCTATTCTAAACTGTTTCAATTATTCTTATTTCTTTTGATTATTTTAATTTATTCTATGTAAAGTACTTTGAATTGCCATTGTGTATGAAATGTGCTATATAAATAAACTTGCCTTGCCTTGCCTTGCCTTGCCTAATAGTAACAAAAACTATAATAGTATATCAATGATAATAAAACACTGGGCTGATATATCGGCAAAGTTGATTAATAGCTGATGTTTTACCTTTTTGAGATTATCTGCATGGGCCTATAAGCATGTCCGCTTTATTGACAAAAGTGCTACACAAGTGCTCCAATTGTCTATTAAGGCCATCCTTAAAAATATTTTGGTTTGCAGTAACAGCAAAAAAAAAAAAAAAAGGGTCGGTAGGTAGGTCTATATATTTTTTTAAGATTCAATGTAAAAAAAAAAAAGGATAATTTTGGTCATGGTGATTACGTCGGTATGAATTTAAACAAATTTGCATATCGTGACGTCACTGACTGGGTCTTCAACCCATGCCTTTGGGCGCACCATTGCGAACCTCATTCTGATACAGGTTATAGACCACAAACAATTTGAAATCTTTGTCAAAAAAAACATATTTATTGCATTAATTCCAGCTGCATTCATTTGGAAAAAAAAGTAGCCACTAGATTTCAATGAAAGTGGATTTTCAGAGGGAAACAAATAAATTAAAATGACTAATCTCACCAGCGCCGCGCCGACCAATAAAACAGCGCGTTTGGCACCATTCGTTTACATTTGAACCATACTGTTACAAGCCCCCTTTCTGGTCTAGGGGCAGGAAAGGAGGGTAACAAAAAGTTGCAGGGAGAGAATGGGAGATTTGACCCATAAACATCTGCTATTATTAACGGAAATCAGTGAGGTCAAATGGCTAGGCGCATTGTAGGAAACTATAGGCCGATTCAGTAGTCCTGACATATTATGGAATGGTCGATTTTCTTTTGTGCAATTTAGTACATTTCGGTATGGGATGTGCTGTTTTATTGGTCAGCGCGGCGCTGGTGAGATTAGTTTGCGCCGCTCTGACCATTGGCTGGCGCAAGCAAACACTTCTCCCTGCGCTGTCGAGTCTGTCGCGACTCGGCCCATTGAGCCACGCAGATTACAAGTCAGCGCAGCGCGAACTCTGTAACACACCGCGCCGTTTCGTCCCCCTTTCGGTGTGTTTGGCTTCCCATACTTATGTGTGTTTGTTTGTCAGAGCCTGCAGTTGCTGTGTGACGCGCGTTCACGGTGGGCATATCGTGACGAGCTGGACGCGCTCCGAGAAAAGGCCGTTAACATCGATTCCCTATTCTCCTATTCCCTATTTGACCATTAAGAATTTCGAATAATGAGCGACTAAATGTAGGCTTATACAGACGTATTTCACAAGCAGCCGCGCCGCAGCCGTCATCACCGAGCGCGAACCATTGACAGTAAATGAAACGAAGCGAACGCACAGGCCATAGTGTGACATGCGTAAACCAATGGTGTAAACATAATCATAATAGATGACGCCACGGGTTTTTATTTAAAAGAAAGAACGTAGCCTACGCAATTTATATTCACAATACTTACTATAATATAATTTATATTATTTTATTGCATTTGTATTAGTTGTTTGAAGAGTAAAAAAAAAATCGGTCGGTCTTAATGCAAGTTTACAACCGGCAAGTCGGTTGGACTAAAAGGGGAAAAATAATAATAATTGGGTCGGTCCTAATTTGACAGGGTCGGTCGGGTTACGGCAAACAAGAATATTTTTAAGGATGGCCTAAGCAAGTAGCTTACAGGCTGGGCGTGAGCAGCCCCAGCCGTCGAGCTCCTCATATTTGCGCAACAGAAAGAGAGTGTTTCATCTCGTGCACCTCCACATAAACACGGGAAAAAGGCGCAACACTCTCAGTCGAAGTCGTCTAAGTCGAAGCCGGATCTGAGGACCGTTCTTCAGGCGAAGAAGACTTCGGCTCAAAAAAAGAGGTCTAGATGTCACTGGCGTCAGACCTGTGAGGACAGCCCCGACCGAAGCGGAGCGGTGTACACCTCAGAATACGGTGCCCGTTCCACTTCGGGGTCCTCACGGGACCGCTCTGCCAACCCCGTCACCCTTGGTGCTTCGGGGCGCAGCGGTCTCCAGCGAGTCGCTGATGCTATGCTGCGGCACTGCATCGGTTTCGCGCCCCCTGAGGGGGGTTCTAGAGCAGCCAGTTCAGGTAGTTCCTGCCATTATGTTTCAGGCTCCAGAACTGGCTGTCTCGTTCATACTAGAGACCAGCCTCGAGAGGCTGGTTCCCTTAGTAGATTTTCTGGCAGCGTGGAAGCTACTGCCAAATATTTCTCGTTGGGTCCTGCGGATTGTAGAGAAAGGATACAGAATCCAGTTCGGTTCTCGTCCTCCTCGCTACAACGGGGTGTTGCTCACTGTAGTGTTTTTACAGCCGTTATTTCATTGTTCCGAAAAAGGATGGAGGGTTGCGTCCCATTTTAGATCTTCGTCTGTTAAATCGTTCAGTACAGAAACTCAAGTTCAAGATGCTGACACTCAAACAGATCGTGACTCAAATCAGATCCGAGGACTGGTTTGTCACGATAGATCTGAGGGACGCTTACTTCCATGTCTCCATCCTCCCTCAGCACAGGAAGTTCCTAAGGTTTTCTTTCGGGGGCAAAGAATACCAGTATCGGGTACTTCCTTTCGGTCTAGCTTTATCACCCCGCACGTTCACGAAATGCGTAGATGCAGCTCTAGCCCCGCTCAGGCTGCAGGGCATACGTATTCTGAACTACATCGACGACTGGCTGATTCTAGCGGAATCAGAGCAGTTGGCGGTTCGGCACCGAGGTGTTCGTTCTCGCTCATATGCAGATGTTGGGGTTGAGGCTCAATTCCAAGGAAGAGTGTGCTTTCTCCAGTACAGTGAACCACTTTCCTTGGTGTGGTATGGGATTCAGTGACGATGCGGGCCACTCTATCGCCTGTTCGTGTAGCTGCTATCCTGGCAGCCACAAAAGAGCTGAGGCTAGGCCAGTCACGCACTGTAAAACAGTTCGAGAGACTGTTGGGTCTTTTGGCAGCAGCGTCCAACGTGATACCTTTTGGCCTGCTGTACATGAGACCTTTTCAGTGTTGGCTCAGGACCAGAGGGTTCTCCCCGAGGGGAAACCCACTTCGTATAATTAAGATCACGCGGCAGTGTCTCCGCGCCTTGGTTATATGGAGGAAACACTGGTTCTTAACCCAGGGTCCGGTGTTGGAAGCTCTTTGCCATCGACTGCGATCTCGACAGATGCTTCCCTCACCGGCTGGGGAGCGGCAATGGAAGGCCGCTCGGTTCAGGGTCTGTGGAGGAGTCATCATCTTTCTTGGCACAAAAATTACCTGGAGATGATGGCTGTCTTCAATGCGTTGAGGCAATTCCTCCCAGACCTGAGGGGCCATCATGTGCTCGTCCGTACAGACAACACATCGGTGGTCTCTTATCTGAACCGTCAGGGGGGTCTGCGTTCGCGTCCGCTTTGCAAGCTGGCGCACCAGATCCTCCTGTGGTCTCTGGGGAAGGTACTCTCCCTGAGGGCAGTGTATATTCCTGGGGACCAGAATATTGGAGCAGACATCCTGTCGAGGCAGGAGTTGAGGCCAGGGGACTGGAGACTCCACCCCGAGGCGGGGGAGAAAATTTGGGAGTTTTACGGCCAAGCAGAGGTGGATCTGTTTGCGTCTCAGCATACGACGCACTGTCCACTTCGGTTCTCCCTTACTCACCCAGCCCTCCTGGAGCTGGATGCTATGGTGCAGACGTGGCCGAGGCTACGTCTGTACGCATTTCCCCCTGTTGCTCTGCTCCCAGGAGTTCTGGAGCGAGTCCGCCAGTAGCGGAATAAGCCTACTGCTAGTACCACCATGCTGGCCAGGTCGGATCTGGTTTGCGGACCTGATCCATCTCTTAGACGGTCCTCCCTGGGAGATCCCGATCAGGAGCGACCTTCTGTCTCAGGCCGGGGGCACAATATTTCACCCCCGGCCAGAGATTTGGAACCTGTGGGTTTGGCCTCTGAGGGGGCCCAACTCATAGAGAGTGGTCTCTCAACTGAGGTTGTTGAGACCATTCTAAGCTCCAGAGCTCCAGCTACTAGGAAATTATATGCGCTTAAATGGAGAGTTTTTTCTGTATGGTGTCACCGACATTAGTGGGATCCGGTTAACTGTTCTGTGAACACAGTACTCGAGTTCCTGCAGGAGCGCTTTAAGTCAGGTCTATGTCCTTCCACGCTCAAGGTCTACGTGGCGGCCATTGCGGCTTACCACGCCCTGGTGGGGGGTACATTGTTGGGTCGAGACCCCCTGATTACACGTTTCCTTCGTGGCACATTGAGGCTGAGGCCTGCAACTCACACTAGGGTGCCAGCTTGGGATCTTGCTATAGTATTAGAAGTCCTGTCTAGGGCTCCATTCGAGCCCTTAGATTCGGTTTCAGAGAAATTTCTTACCCTTAAGACTATCTTTCTGCTAGCTATTTCGTTCCTTAAGAGAGTTGGAGATCTTCAGGCGCTTTCGGTTTCCCCCACTTGCGTTGAGTTTGCGCCGGGGATGGTCAAGGCATTCTTATATCCAAAACAGGGATACGTCCCTAAGGTGCCAACCTTGATTCCGAGGCCTATTGTGCTGCAGGCTTTTTGTCCTCCTCCTTTTACATCTGCGGACCAGGAAAGGCTGAACCTCTTGTGTCCAGTGCGAGCATTAGACACTTATGTTCATCGGACATCTTCATGGAGGAAGTCCGACCAGTTACTTATTTGCTTTGGATCACCTAAAATAGGTCTTCCTGCTTCTAAACAGACGGTTAGTAAGTGGATAGTTGAGGCTATTGCACTTCCATACGAGTACTCTGACCAGCCTTGTCCTTTGGCGGTGTCCAGAGCTCAGAGGAGTATGGCGGCCTCTAAAGCCTTACTATTTGGGGTTTCTCTTCAAGACGTTTGTGATGCGGCAGGCTGGTCCTCACCGCTCACATTCGTTAGGTTTTACAGCTTAGACCTGGATGCTGCCCCAGGTTCTCAGGTGCTTAGTGCTTAGTTACAACAGACTAACAGACTAGTATTCTCATTCCCAAAGCGTCGTTGACGCATCGCGAGTTCCCTCGAAAGGGAACGTCTCAGGTTACGACTGTAACCATAGTTCCCTGAGAAAGGGAACGAGATGATGCGTCACCCTGCTATACTTCCTGCATCCCAGTGATCGGCTTGCTTCGGCAATTTTTCGAAGCTAATGCCGGTTTGCACCGGATGTGCTTTTATCCCTTCCTGGTCATGACGTCACCCGCCCGTGACGCTCATTCTTTCCATTGGACTAGTTGACATAGATGCTTCAGACGCATTCACGCTGTTCCCAAAGCGTCGTTGACGCATCGTCTCGTTCCCTTTCTCAGGGAACTATGGTTACAGTCGTAACCTGAGACGTTAAATGCCTTCATAAAATAAGCTTCATATTAAATTGCATTACATTATATTTGCTTTTTTAAATCCTTCAAAAATTAGCACCATTTTAATGCCTTCAATGTAACCTTGATTTACCTTTTTAAAGAAAATTAAGGATTAGTCCAAATGATTTTTTGTGGTAATTAGCATTATGCCACAAATGTTGTTGATTGAGATTAATTTGTATTGAACTGTATTGAAATATTCCTTTTAAGAACAAAAAAGACAGAGTCTAATGGTCTCTTGTGATTCCAAACAATTTCATCTTAAGTGCTAAGAGCCCAGGGTCAGTGAACTCATTCCTGTCTTCAGTCCTTGCAGCGTTTAGACTAAGCAAAAAGAAAGTTACAGCTTCAAGTGTGTCTGAGTGTTTAATAAAGGAGAATGTTTAGTGCATTGAGTATGAGTCAAATACAGAAATAACTTTTGGAATTTTTTACGTAATGAAGACACTCATTGCAGTGTATCACTGTTTTCTCTTTAGAAATATCACTGAAAATGATATTTTCAAAAAATATAACCCTAAAAGCTTTTTATTGTAGACATCATATCAGCTTGGGCTGAATACAGAGAAGCTGTTGTTTTTTCTCTCTCAGCTTGAAGTTAAGCCCATTTCACTGACGTCAAATCGCTGTCTATTTGCCCTGCCGTCACCATGACGACAATGGCTAACATTTTTTTTTCAACAAGTCAGGTGTTGCATTTCGAGGGTCTGTCGATTGGACTCCCTCATTTCACACTAAGCCCAGATGGAGAGAGAAGGACGGAAAGAGCAGTCTGCCATCTGGGGGATGATTAGCTCTTATTGGGAAAGGGTTTATTTGAAAATAAGGCAGAGAGTGAAGCACGGTGACAAAGGATAAACCGCAGGGAGTTCATCACGTTATGTATCGATGAGCCTTTCTGTGAGAATGAGACTAAATCTACTTCTAGTCTACTTCCTGTAATGTTTTGATCATTGCAGATTTTTGCACTTACCTTAATGTTTATGTAAAAATACTATTGTGTTTTTAAATATATATGTCATTATATATATAAATTAAGATTTTTTTGATTTTTTTTTTTTAAGTATCACCAAGGATGCATTTATTTTAACAAAATGTATTAAAAACAGTAATATTTTGAAATATTAATACTATTTATTCTCTCTCTCTCTCTCTCTCTCTCTCTCTCTCTCTCTCTCTCTCTCTCTCTCTCTCTCTCTCTCTCTCTCTCTCTCTCTCTATCTATCTATCTATCTATATTAATATTAATGTATAATCAGACCTGTCTTTTGATTAGGGGTATAAGAACTGACCAAAGGACCATCTTTGCAACCAATCTGAATCTGCCAGGCTAAAGACAATTCAAGGAACAATGCAAAATCTATATGAGAGGGTAATCAATGGACAGGCACAGAAAAAGCAGACCTTCATCTCAATCTCAGTTCCATGAATCTGCTGTGCAACCGTCTTGATGATGCCTATGACGATGTCCTGAAGACCTTCTCTCTCAGAGTAATAGTGTAGAATAAGGTTGTTCCCTTTCTCTGCATCAGTGCAGCGGAAGGATGGCGCGCGCATGCCGGGGTAGATGGTGCCCAGATGGTCATGCAATGCGTCCAGATTCTGAAGGAGAGAACAAGATGATCTTAATGTGGAGATGCAAAGAGCAGATTTTTGCTTAGCTGGAATAAGTGAATGCAAGGAAAAGGGGTGTACTAAGTTACATGCAACTCAATATTTAAAAAAGTAGTGAAATCAATCTAGTCATTTAAAAAAAATGAGAATCTAAATTAGGCTGGCAGCATCACACTCAAACACAAATTTACAACTAATGAGAAATTCACACTATATGATTAACTGCAGTAATGAGTTTAAATGAATATTTAAATACAGAAATAAAAATATAGAAATACATTATTATATGTATTTTAAATATATAAATAATAAATAATGATAAAAAATAATACATTTAAAAAATACATTACATTTTTTTAAACTAAGCTGCTGAAAAACAGCTAAGCTGCTGAAAATGAGTGTCTGTTGGCTAAACTCACTAACACCATTAGCTACAGTGATGTCAAACTTTTCTCTCATTTTTAATTTTGGCATTCACTATGAACTATGGACAGCATAGAATTTCTCACAAAATAAACCAAATAAATTACATTCTTTGAAAAACACGATCTGTAATTCATATTATTACTTCAGAAATTGGTAGTGAAAGGACATTAAGGATTATTTCAAATGTATCGCTGAGGATGTTATTGTCAATTCTGACACAAAACATACCATTTCCATTGTTCAATCTAACAAAACTGACCCAGTCTATTATTATTTTTAACTATTCTAAAAATCACCCTCACAAAAAGTACAGTACATGCAATGTGTGAAATAGAAAACAGACAGTGTTGCTTGCGTCACTTCCTCGAATTGCTGCTACTGATTTTGGGTGATAAAAACAGTAGCCTCTTACTTGTAAGAATTCACGGACATTAGAGCCCAACACTCGGAGAATGGTGTCATAGCCAGATTCCTGACAGAACTCAAAGAACATTTTCCCAAACATTTGCAAGATGCCTCCAGCATCTATTTCTAGTAGAGAAGAAATCATATTTAAATCAACAAGGAAAAGAAAAATGATCATCAAAAACATCAAGTACATTTTTACATTCAAACTAAGTAACTTGTTACATTTATTGTATAACACCAGTTAATCATGATATTGTTCTGCATCAACCTGTGAACTAATATAACCTTTATGATGAATCACACCTGTTTAAATAACACTTAAAAATGATATATTTAATTAATTAATTTAAGTTTTTAACTAATTATTATCTCCATCCTTCCAAAAAATAAAAATAAAATAACTTACTCAATACTTTGCTTGCAGCAGCCACAAGGTCATATGTTTTGGCATCTTCATAGATAATTCTGACCAGAAACTGTCCTTCTACATCAACCTGGGCCTCTCTCCTGAGAAAAAAAGATAATATGAAATATTAAGAACATCAAGCAATTACTATTACATTATCAAATTAACAAAAAAATATATATATTAATGCCTAGAAATTAGAAATTTAGAATTTTTCAGGTAAAAAACATGTGATTTGCTTGACCATATTACAAAACTGAGCTGAAAAAATCAGCATTGACCAAGAATGACCAAAGAGAAGTTCAGTCAAAAAGTTGAACCAGCCTAATAATAATAGAACTAGAAACATCATTAATCATGCCTGGTACACTGCACTGAGAGATGCTGCTAACCTTATTGTGATAATACTGAACCTCGATGAAAAATGCTGCAATAACTGAGTCCAACTACTTTAAAGGAGTAGTTCACTTTCAAATAAAAATGTCCTGATAATTTACTCACCCTCATGTCATCCAAGATGTCCATGTCTTTCTTTCTTCAGTCGAAAAGAAATTAAGGTTTTTGGGGAAAACAATAAAGGATTCTTCTCCATATAATGGACTACAAACAATGGTTTGAAGGTTAGGGTAAGTCTCAAATGTCAGTCTCAATGCAGCGTCAAAGGCTCGACACGATCCCAGCCGAGAAATAAGGGTCTTATCTAGAGAATCGGTCATTTTCAAAAAAAATTAAATAATAACAATATACTTTTTAATCACAAATGCCCATCTTGTACTATCTCTGAGATGCGCCATGCATTACATCATCACATTGGAAAGGTCACGCATGATGTAGTCGGAAGTACTACCAGTGTTTACAAGTTTGGAGTAGGAGGACCGTTCAAAGTTATTGTCTATTGAATGACACATATTTATAAGTATTTGTGTCAGTTTATTGTTTAAAATGGTCCTTACGTGTGCATATCCTGGATGTTTAACGATGTCAAGCGTGACCTTTCCAACGTGATGACGAAATGCGTGGCGCATCTCAAAGATGGTACAAGACAGGCATTTGTTGATAAGAAGTATAGAATTTATTTTATTTTTTTAGAAAATGACAGATCGTTTCGCTAGATAAGACCCTTATTTCTCGACTGGGATCATGATTCATGTCGAGCCTTTGAAGCTGCATTGAGACTGACATTTGAACCTTCAAACCGTTGGTTGCCATTGAAGTGAAGTCCATTATATGGAGAAAAATCCTGGAATATTTTCCTCAAAAACCTTAATTTCTTTTCGACTGAAGAAAGAAAGACAGACATCTTGGATGACATGGGGGTGAGTAAATTATCAGGAAATTTTTATTTGAAAGTGAACTAGGCTAATACTTTAATGTTGCCAGAACATTGAGTGAGACTCAAGCTCACGACTTGAGCCTAAACAGACTCTAAAACATATGTTTACATTAAGCACAGCTGTGACTTGACAAGACTGCTCTTAAAAGTCATGTCAAAGAGCTGGAGGAAGTTAAAATAAAGCTGAACTATTTGTGCAAGAGGAAAAAGTTGTACGCATGTGACCTCACCCCACGAATTGTTATGCGCGACTTCTCATGCTCTGAGTCTGAATTAATGAAAAAGTGCATCTGGTAGTAAAGGCTGGGCTATCACAACATCCTGAGCTATGATGTAAAACATTTATTTGGAAATGCAACTACTTTTTCCCCTATTTAGGTATTGAGGAAAAAGTGCTGGGTAAAAAATATAATTGTTGAAATGTTATTTTATTTCAGTAGCTTAAGATTTCAATTTAAAAAAAAATTGCCAGTGTCATTGTCAATAACACATTGATGTAATATAGAAGTACATTTTAACTCACTTGATGTCCTCCCACACATCTGGACCATAATTTCTCAGCACCAGAAGTTCCAGTGCGTGGTTCACAAAACCGTACTGTCAAAAAAGAGAGAGAGATACAAATGTGAAATACAAATATAAAATGTCTTTATCTGTGACTATACATATTATAATGCATTAATGCATCCTTCTACCATTTATATATAGCAGAAGAATGCATTGTTTGCTTTATTGCTTACCAATTCAGCCATCTATTTAAATATGCTGTAGTGCTTTTAGTGCGTAAATCAAAACATGAGCTGTGGTTCCCTGCACAGGTTACATTTTACCACACAATGAGGCAACACAAATAATTATTCACCTATAATACAGAATTACATATTTGAGTAATGCCTTACACAGCGATGATACTGTAACGTTAACTGCAGAGCAAATATTTAGGCTGCGTGAATAGTGGTAAGAAAACAAATACAACACAAGTACAAACGCATTCATATTGCTACATACCATGTTTCGATTAATTCGCCAATCCCTTTTCTGGTAGATTAAATCACTAAACACCAGAACTGACAAACCGTACAGCTGTTACGGTTGAAACCTCCATTCCTGAAACGAGCTCATTGTTATTGACAGAGGATGTAGCCAACGGGAGCGCGGGGATGCAGAGACTACACACAGCTGGCTCTCGCTATTTGCATTTCGCTAGATCCCGGATTCAGGAATTATTCTACGTTGACGGATTGTCTTATGAATATTGATTACGCAACATGACGTTTGTCCAGAAGACCTACCTGATTGGCTGCGAGGTAGACGTTAGTAGGTGGGCGCTAGTAAACTGGCGAATCAGCGATTCCTACTATGGTTGAAGACCTGGTAAATAAATATTAATTAGGTTACGTCTTGTACGCTCCGGGTAGGTTACCAAGCAACTCCAGCATGACCTTATTAATATTCATCGACCAAGTGCAAGTGCAATGCAAGCATTGGAGTTACTTAGAAAGATCGTAAGATTGTTATTAATCGAAATACTTTTTTTTTTTTTTATCAAATTAAGAAAAAGCTTTTATAATTTTTTATAGCCTAAAGACGTTGGAATTTTTACAGCCTTGATAGTCATCATATAAAATGGTAAGATATTCAATTTCTCTAATTTTCTCTAATTACAGTTTTTCTCAATTGCTAAAACACAATTTCTGAATCCTTGCTCCTTTTTCTGAAAACATTAAACACAAAACCTCATCTTCAAGCACTATTTACAAAACCTCTGACTCTTCTTGCAAAATGAAACTTTCGCCTCAAAACAGTTTTACTTGTGTTCAAAATCAAACACTGCTCTCAAATCATAGACAAAGTGATCAAAATGATATACACTATTAAGCAGTCAGTAAACAATACACCAAAAAATAGAAAACACATTGTTCAAAACATACAGTTCTCGAAAGATATCTACTGACGGCTATTCTGTTTGTAGACTTACCCGTGACACATTACTGTACCATCAAAATTTCAGGGAGAAGTACATTTTTAATCTTAAAACAAATTTCATATTTGTCCGTCATTGTCTTTTGATGAATGAAAACATCATAGTAGCGCAAAATTGATCAGAAATTACTACTCTGCTTTGCTCTTTTGCAATTTTATTTGTTCTTCCTCCTTGTACCCCTATTTTTACAGTACAGTGCCCTGCATCTCACAAACTTCTCCTTTGTCAGTTCTATTGTTTGATACTGTAATGCTTGTTCTTTGTTGATATGAACCTGCAAGTGCAACCAGTAAAATCTATTGAGCATTCAGTACTATAACAAATGGTACTGTTACAGTAACGATGTTCGGGGCCATATAATTTGTTCATTGTACAGTATACAGCCTACAATGCACTGTACTACAGTATACAATACTAAAAGGGACAAAAATCAAAGGAGTAAACGTGATCAGTGTGCTTCTTCTTGTCTTTGGGCATCATTTGAAACAGGTTAAATCAATGTTGAGTGGTTGTGTTCAATCAATGACATTTGTTCTCTATTTGTATTTGATCATTGCCACTTGTGTTTACCAGTATGGATGACGTGTGCATTACAGTGCAGAATATGTTTTGAGAATGAGAATGTGTTTAGCGTTTTGCTGAAAAGTCTAAGTAAGATCTGCAAATTGTGTTTTGCCATGTGAAATAGTTTAAGGTATTGACAACAGACTGCACAATTAGCTAAATGAGTTCAGGCAACTGAGAACTGTGTTCAGCCAATGGGTTTTAGTGTTTTAGCAATTGAGAAAAACTGTAAGTGCTAGCAAATGCAAATCATTTGAAACTGAATGAGTCAATTTTGGGTTTTGTAGGCCTGTTCTGAGACATTTACGGAAGCTAACCTTTGTGCATTCCTGTTTATAAAATGCTGCAATTATAATTCTTATAAATGTTACATTATATTTCAACAGTTTTATCGGTTGTAATATGTATAATAGTGATGAATGTAGAGGCAAAATGAAATAAAAAAATGATATGATTGTGTGAAATGGTGGCTACAGACAGGATTACCCCTGATATACCACCACATTGCTTTTTATAAAGCATGGATTTTAGGAAATACCCCACATGACCCATGTTCTGTTAAAAAATGTTAAGACAATGTTAAGAGACCGAACATTTTAGGATAATGCAACAGTGTTATCTTTTGTGTGGTCTCTCTTTCACTCATTTCATGGAAAGAGCACGTGGCATTGAAACATCAACAACAAACCAAACTTTCAATAAAGCATGTTTATTACAGATCTATTACAATACAAAAGAAATGTCACAATGTTTAGTTCAAGAATGATTGTGGATGGGCTCTGCTGAGGTGATGCTTTACTGTGTGCATTTCTTCGCCTTTACTGTGTACTACAATGATGTGCTCTATTCAGATTATTGAAATGATACTTGTTGTCCTTAGACTATAAATGATTCACTTTCTTGACTCTATAGCGTTTAAAGAAATCAATTATTATAGATACAAATGTGGATGACATTCTTTGCTTTTTAGATTTTTGGTATACAGTTAGGAAGTCAAAATAAACTAATTACTTTATTAAAACAGTCCAGCCGATCAAAATTACAGGACTCATACTTAACGCCACTGTGAAGAAAAACACAGTGCTCAATGAAACCCTTCTAATGAGTGTTATTTGATAGCTTTTTGGCAACATTCAACAGTTGGATGATAAACTACCTCTGGCTCAACTAAAACGATACACAGAGTGACAAGCAGTATTACTGTTTCCACTGTAACCACTGTTTCCACTGTTTCCAGCATTCGTTGTCTGCTCTGAGATATTTTGTGTTTTCATCCACTGGGCTGAGTTTCCTCTGTAGCACAGCCTCTGGAAGCAGCACTTGTCTTTTGATCACGAGCCTGGAGAAAGTAACAAACTCCAGGGATGTCAGTGGGGAAGTTGGGCGGAAGATCCTCTCTTCTCCGGGGGATAAGAATGAACTCTGGACAATCTTTTAACAATCTGAAATGAGAGAGAAGTAACAAATTGTCCTAAAGCCCACTTGCAGGTATACACAGTAAAACTGTTAGTGATAAATCAGCTGTAACAGAGTGGATTATGAGGAAAATACTTATACATGTTTTGGCTCTGCCAGAAAGTATTTAATAAGGATTACTGTATCTTGTTATTCTTTCTTAAACATAAAAAAAACACAGATCCATTTGATGGAATGTTCCTGGACTTCGTTTATGTAAAACTAATATAGTGGCACTTCATTGTACAATAAATAACTAGCTGTTGAGCTAATTTATGTGTACAATTACAACTCATTTTACTCCCACTTAAAGATTAAATACTTGTTTATATCTCAAAACTACAAAAGAATTAGAAACATGCTGATTCAAATATAATAAAAAAACATTTAGTCAAACAGACTTGCCAATATGTATTATTTATACAGAATAAACAAGCAGGACAGTTGTCTCTGTTTATACCTGTATGTGGTGGGACTGACGTTAATCTTTCTTGGCAGGCTACAGGACTCAAACTTATTGGCTAATGTGACATTATTGCCAAAAAGGCAGTATCGTGGCATTTTAACACCGACCACACCTGCCAAAACCGAGCCAGAGTGGATCCCGATACGCATCTGAGAATAAAACAAAGCAAGCACTCTGTTAAAAAATTAAAAATAGTTTTTCTTCACATCTTTCTTCTCAAATTTTCTTTTTTCAACTCCTTTATTTCAAACCATGTGTAATATTACTATTTCTGAGCCTCCTGACATCTCCTGATGTCTATTGTTTGCCAATACATTTCATGTTAAAACGATGAAAATACAGACGATTCAACCCAATCTTCAAACCAAACATAAATATTACTTTTCTGCAAGATCATTTGTTAAGATAAAAATTATCATATTTTTATGTCTAAAGCAGCAGTATTCGTATTCTAATTCCAATTCTGATCAATTATTCTGGGTGACAATTGCACTGTTATGAATAATATGAACATACCTATTTTGGAGCCTAAAATAGGATACATTAAATGTGACCTTTCAAAAATTATTTTCATTGTAGTGTGAGGGTGTTTGCACAATAATGTACAAGCATTCATGTGTAAATGAGTCACGCATCGATTTTATTCTACCATCGAACATTATTGTTGAAAGAGTTGCATTATTTTGTTTAATATCTGCAGTCTAGTAAAGGTTTCCATGACAAATGAGAGAAATTTAAATAAAAGAATAAAAGACAATAATAAGTATATTTGACTCATTACATATTATTCATGCTATAACTGTATAATATAACTCATAATAAAAAATAAAAATAAAAACTGATGAAACACTAACCTTGATGATCTCCCCCATGGGAGTCATGACCTCATCCGACAATTCCATCATCTTCAGAGCCATGAGAGCAATCTGGACAGCATGGGTCGGACACTCTTTGTGTAATCCTCCAGCTACACAGTACGCATCGCCGATGGTTTCCACCTTGAACGCACAAATGAGGACATATGAAAGGTTATGAGAGCAGAGTGCTAAATATTTCATAACACACCTCTGAGTATATTCAAGGTTCATGGCTGCCGTAATATTCTGAATTGCCTCTCTTGTGACATTCATGTATTAGTTCAAATCAATTAACAGAACCGATGTGCATTTAGACAACAATTTAATTATGATTAATGAATCATATTATATTATTACATAATTATTATTAGATCATATTATATATATATAATTATATATATATATATATATCAGATCATAATTTTAATTATTAAAAGCTCACCAGTGCATTCCCAACCATGCACCGGATTAGGTTAGCTGACTATTTGATGTAATTTTAAACAAAAAAGAAATAAAAAATCATCAGTTTCTTACAACGTGAAAGCAGAAGTTTCAGTGTTGAAAGTAAGCTATTTTGAAACCAGCTATAACAAACTAACTTTACGTTAACAAAATGGAACAATTTTGACAGCTTGAGAGACATTAATTCCCTGTTATTGCACATTCAGTATGGAAATGTTTGAGACACACATCATGAACCAGCTGAGATATGTTGGGAGAAGCCAAGAGAGGAATCTATTTAAGGATATAGCTGTCTGTAAGAATGTAAGCAAAGCCAGACACTAAGCTAAACTTTACCTCCACTGTCTTTTACAAGAAATTAATCTCTGCTGCATGTGTATGGGAAATTCTGCTACAGATTACATTAGCCAACCTCCCAGCACTTTATGAGCCTGCATGTCAGAAATTATGAAAAATGAAAAAGATTTCGGGTGAATCCCAAGGGCCCCTAGATAAAGTTAAAAGAACATATTTTGCAAACTCCAAATAAAAAAAAGCCCCTTTTTTGCTACTTTGAAGCTAAAAGACCAAAAAAGGTTTCAATACACTATGCCAAAAACAGTCGAACCAAAGGACTATTCATCCATGAAGAATTCAACACTTATCAGTAGTGAGTAGCAGTGAAATGTTCTACACAGTGTTATTTATTTGTTCGGACCAAAGTACAATATCACTCACCTTATACACATCCAGCTCACCGCAGTGGTGATCAAACCTAGTGTAGAGCTCACTGAGCATGTTTACCACCTGCATGGGCGTACAACGTGAACAGGTTGCAGTGAAGCCCACAATATCTGAGAACAGCACGGTGACATGATCAAACTTTTTCGCCTGCACAGGAAGTCCCTGCCACAAACGCTGGGCGACGTTCCCTGGGAATATCGTGAAGAGCAGCTCTACCGTTCGCCTCTTTTCTTCTTCCAGGGCCTGGTGTGCCTGTTCCAAGGCAGCTTTGGCTTTGCCCAGGCGTTTTTTTAGTCCATCTTGGGCCTTGGTCTGCTCCCCAACCAGAACAACATCTCGTAGTGCATTGTGGATGGGAATGTCAGAGAGGTAGAGGCCCCGGCCTGTCAACTCCTCCAGCTTATCCACACACGGAGAACCGAGGAAGAGGAGAGCACTCATTTCTGACATGAAGATCATCTGCCCCTTCAGGTCCATATGCTGAAATGAGAGGGTTGGGAGGATGGGAATTAATTCAGAGGTTTGGACAAGTTTGCTATAAATGTGACCAATGTATATTAATATATTATGTTAATACATTTTTTATAATACATAATTTAATCAAGGCACTTTCATGTTTATGCTTACTATTTTATGCATTTGCGAACTTGTATGAATTTGTACGATCTCATTCATACGATTTCATTCAATCTGCTTAAAGGGTTAGGTTAGGTTTAGATGTGTGGTTATGGATGGACTTTTACTTGTTCTAAAAAAAAATTTTTGGACAAAACAAATTGCAATAATTCATATGAATTCACCACCAATTTTTACATTTTTTTGCAATTTTCTCTTGAGAACGGGTTGAATATAATGTAATTTATCTTGCTCAAAGGGATTTGATTTGCACTTAGTTTACACATTGTTTTGAAGTAAGCTTCTAAACGTCATCCTGACCCTACCACCCACCTAAGTTCATAGTTTTGTTTAGGGAAATGATTTCTTTGCTGGCTGATGTCCATTTATCTTATTTCAGTCAAATCGTATAGTGTACACTGGAAATATTCCATTTTTGTATTGTATACCCAAAAGATCTGACCTACAAATTATGTGGGATATCATAGGGGATATTTGTTTTTTTATGACCCTAGAAGTTCAAATAAACTATCAAAATGTTTTAGATATATGAAAGCACTAAACTTGGTTAATTTATCTGATAAAATTATTTGGCAAAAAAAGACAAACTACAGCTACAGGTTTTATTTAAATAATATTTAAATAAAAGGTGAAGATATACATTTTCCAAGGTCGGACATCACTTTCGGCTACTAGTGTAAATTAATTTGAGTTTTTGAAAAGACCCAAAGCATAATATTAACTGATATTTAGTCTGTGTAAATAAAATGAATGTGCCATTCAGTGCAGTATTTTTTAATAAAATAATAATATCTTCCTCTATTTTTCCAAAAGATTACCTATTGGGTAAAGCTGAAATGAATTCTACTTGATATAGATAAATGTAACAAATAAAGGAAAGCACATTAGACTAAACATTATATGAAACATGGATCCAAAAACTCCTTATAATGCCTCCGTGCCATCAATGTATATTATGTGTACTGTTTGTTTCTTAAATTAATCTAGATATTAGTTTGCTGTGCAATTCCTTTCATGTGATCAGGTAGATCTCATTAATTGTGCCTTTGATGGGCCTTCCACGTCTTGACATTTGGCGCCATGTTCATGTCATTGTGGTACAGGACTTTATTGCATTGCCCTTATTATACTGATCATCTGCAACCTGATATTTGCCAATATAAATTTTCCTCAACCACCTCATAAAAACTCATTTCAGATCAGCACGAAGATAAACCTATGAGTAAAAATCCTACTAATTACTTTGTACTGATTAGTTAAATCATGTTGTGCTTTTTAATTGTCTAATCAACATGAAACCCAAAGCAGTCTTTGATTCTTCTTATTCTTTGATGCATGTCGATGTGATAAAATGACACATAGACCTTCAGAGGTTCACATTGTGAATGCAAACTTGCATACATTGCATTCAAAGTTGCAAACATAGATGTTTTTCCACACTCTGTTTAGCTTGTCTCAGCTAAGCTAAGCAATAAGCTTGACATTTTAGAAAGTCCCAGGTAAGCAGTTTCACACATAACTGGTGGTCCATTGTTAGCATCAGCATTTCGATATATAGCATGCAAGGCCACCCTTATGACAGAGGGAGAAAATGGAAAACAAAAAAATACCTTTCCAGGGCTGTCAGCAGAGCTCGCTCCATGATGTTTCACCCGTAGCACGAACTGGGTGTTAAGCATGGTCAAAATATCCTGGAAGCTGGCTCGTATCTCGGGTGACACAATGGCAAAGTGCTCATTGAAAACGGGTCTCCTTTGACCATCTCTGTATCGGCCAAGCCTCCTTCTCAAACCATCTCCAATCTGCATCAGGACCATTTCCTGATCCAGGAGAACGTGGAAGGGAAAAGTAGAGTAGAGCAGCGAGAGGGGGATGTCTCCAGACGAGTGTGTCCTCATGGGGCTTGGTGTGAGGCTCCTGCCATCTCTCACTACCACCGAGTACAGCAGATGGGGCTGATGACTGGCCTGTAGAGCACCACTGTCTTTACCCCCAACATCCATTCTGACCTCCACCCGTGTGCAGTAGAGCAAACACGCTGCCGCCTGGATGATACCCGAGAAGAAGAGCTCAGTGGTGGGGAGGGGGTTGAAGTAATAGACTGTCAGGAGTCCTGGATCTTTGTCCAGGCAGAGGATGGATGCTTGGTGGATGTAACGCTGTACCTCAGGGGTGGGCGGTGTGCTTTGCTTTAAGAGAACATTAAAGCTGTTGAGAAAATCATGGAGAGCTCCCCCCACCACTCTGAGAATATGACCATCCTCCTCATAACAGTCTCGAAACACCTCCAGACCCAGGGAGATCTTTAGTGCATCCATGGGGATACCTTGGATTTAATGTGAAAAATACAATTCATTAAAAATGTAATTAATATTAATGAATATATAAACATTTCAATGCCTCTTCCTACCTGTTTTAAGTGAGTAGTTTCTCATGACATCGGATAATTGGTCGGCATTGTCCAGTGTCTGAGATCCATCAGAACTGCATGCTACAGGGCTTTGGACACATATTAAAATATAGTCAATAAATTAATATGCAGAATGGAACAAGGAGAACAACATCAAAGCACTTTTGAACTTTAGGTTGAAGCCGGAAAATATTATATATTATAATATAATATTATGTTATATAATAATTCACATTGACAACATTATAGAACATATAATTGAAAATATTGTATGTAGTATAAATATAAAACAATGTGGAAAACAATAATGAAATACTTTGTCATAAGAATGAAAACAATATTCAAACGATCTCTACAACAGTAAATGGTCGACAAATTGTCAAAATTAAAAATAGTATGATACAAGGACAATATTATAATTCATTGTCAACATTAACAGATGTAAGGCAACCTATTATAATGAAAGGGAAAAAACATCTTACCAACTCATGTCTATCTGCTGTTTCATAACTCTGAACAATGCATTTCGTAATTTCTCGAACTAAAAGAAAAAAATAACATTTTATATAGCATAGCATATCGTGTGTGCATTTGATAATGTAATTATTAACTGTCGTTTGCCTTGCACATTTCTCTTTGGGCGCTTGCAAGCAAAACCCAGAAATTAAACCGATTTTCCAATCCAACGTATTAGAATCTGCTGCAAAATATCATCAGGTGAATTAAACATGAATTTACCTCCGGGCACACCAGCTTTCGGATGCTCTCGCCCAGTGAATGCAGATTAACTTTGCTCCGGCTTATTTTGCGTCTGGGCAGAATGTTTGCGATATTGCCCTGCACCTCTCTGGATACTGGCACAACATTCACCGCATTGCTTTCCTCAAAGTCCGCGGGTTCCTCTTTTCCCACGACCATAGAAAAGGGGCATTCACCCGAAATCTTAAGATCCTTTAGTTTAGCGCAAAACATAATTAGCAAAATAGTCCTCACCAAACATGCAGCAAAAATATCTACATTGTGAATATCCGACTGAGACCATTCATGCCCATCCGAATACAGGATAGAAGCATCCCAATAGGTGATGGAAAAAATCTCAGCCCAGCAAGGAAATATATTTTGCCCGCGCGCACACGTCTTATCCAGGACCAAGCTATTTCAAACTTATCAGCAGCTATTCCGCCTGCATACAATATTCATAGTAAATTACAGGAGCAAATGATGAGCCAATGATCATTAAGTATGGCCAATCACAAGCACTACTGGAAACCTCCAGCTAGCCAATGGATGCACTGGCAGCCAGAGCTCCTAAAAGATGTATAATACTCGTCTGGAGATGCGTGATATTCTCTTGGAGATGCTGCGTACCATGCGGATCATCCAATGGATTGACTGGTTATTTTAGAGGACTGCCGTTCTGCACCGAGTGTTTGCTCGATCCTCAGCTCATTTGATATGCTTTTAGCGACGTCTAGCAAATATTTAAATGTCACATACTGTATAGTTTAACCCTATCAGTTGGATTATTATGCAACATCACGTTTTATTTCATTCGGATTCCAACTGAAACGTTTCCAAAAGGAAACGCTTTCAACATCTTGCACTTGGATCTGTGTCATGTATCATCTCAGAAACGAACAATTTGGGCACATGCTGCGCTTTGGGCCACCCAGATGTCTGCCCAGTTTCTCGCCAACATAAATTGCCATGTTACTCATTACAGGCGCAAATAGATGTTATGTAAGTGTCTCAAGGCATTGCATTCTTTCATGGGTCCCTTTCCCCAACAGACAGCCAGGACTTGTCAGGCTATAATGAGGAGCATCGAGTTCAAGAGATCATGCTAGATTCCAGTTAAATGAACCTAATTATTTGGAGAAACAACATATTTGATTTCATAACAAACAAATATGTTTTTAACCACAAAAAAAATCAAATATTTTTTCTATTTTAGTCTAAAATAAGGGCAGATATTTCACACTATTGCATAGGGGGAGAGTGGGGCACAACACATTTTGATTTTCTCAGTTTGTGTAAATCCATATAAAGTTTTTATTTTTTCCCCACGTTATTTTCACACATGTCTTTTACAATGTGGTTTTGTTTCATGAATACAGTATATGCTTTTTTCTTTATTTACCCCAAAAGAATGGAAGTGAAATGTGACGACATGATGGGGTATTGTAACATGTAACCCCACTTTTTCATATAGAATAATGGAATTTTTAAATAATTAAAATAAACTCATTTTTGAGATTGACACAATGATTTGAGATTTGAATGAAAACACAGCTACAGCATAGTTCAAAACATAATAATAATAATAATTAATAATTTCTGAACGTTGACTCAGTCTTTATTCACCTCTTTCTCATGGTTTCTCAAAATAATTCATAAAAGTTTATTTGAATGATATCATTAACGTCATAGAATAGCATAGTTCTAGTGGCACATAACACAGTGTTACAATGTTTTGTACCTTTACTCTACTACTAGTAATGTGAATGATTTTGTAGGCAGGTTAAGACTGGACTTAGATTGTTTAAATGTACTGTTTATTAATTATAATAACAATAATTGCACGAATATTTAAATTTGTTGCATTTCGCAGGTATTTTAAGACTGTATTTAGATTTTTAAAAATGTACTGTAAGGGAATACTAATATATTTTTGTTTTAAAAGCTATTACAATTATTAAAAAATGACATGTTTTTGGTGAGTTTATAATGTAATACATTTCTCTGAATGTAAAAGTTGTTATTATATTATGAGCTCAAGATTTTATTACGTTTTGAGAAAATTATTACATCATGAACATTTTATTACAACAATAATGTAATACTACTACATGATGCAGTTTTTACATTTTACATTGAGTTCCTACACTATCTCAACTGTTAAATAACAAATTTTAGATTAAAATAATAGCAGATTTGTCTCATTGTATTTAAACTCTAAAAACTGAGATGAAAAATGAACTTCAGTAAGAAATTTACTTTTACTATGGTTAAATAAATGTTCAATGATATCTTCCAAAGATTTTTGAATTTTGGTGCAAAATTTTTCTCTATATAGTGTTGATGAGTGTGGAAACTTTTAAACCATGTGTGTTACAATAGCCCCACGTTAGGATGCCCTGCTCACCCCTACACATATTCTTGGTGTTCTTATTCTCTGTGACAATGATTTGTTTTCGATGCAGAGTCAGACACTGAGAGAGGTGAGGAGAGTCCATAGTGCAAAACCGATCAATAGCATGTACACAGATCAATGAAAACTCAGAATTCAATTATTTTTTAAATATTTATTACTTTTACTTTCACTGGATTTTGATAAAACACAATGATCAATGACATATTCTTAAAATGATGTATTCTGAGATTGAATGGAGTGGGAGAACACCCTAACATCATGGTTGCCTTAAAATGTCTCAAATACTTTTGAGTCTTAAAGTTGCTGTGGTGACGCCATATCTTAAAAAAACAAACTTGGATCCTTCGTCTCTTTCCAACTTCCGTCCTATTTCTAATCTACCTTTTATTTCTAAAATCATTGAGAAAGTTGCACTGACTCAATTACAATCATACTTGGCTGTAAATTCTCTGCATGAAACTTTTCAATCCGGTTTTAAAGCTTTACACAGCACTGAAACTGCCCTTTTAAAAGTTTCAAGTGATATTTTCACAGAAACTGATTCTGGTAAATCCATTGCTTCAGTTTTATTGGATCTGAGCGCCGCATTTGATTTAGTTGACCATGAGATCCTGTTGCGACGTCTGGAGATATCTGTAGGCTTTCGTGGCGCAGTCTTACAGTGGTTTCGTTCCTATCTGACCAACAGATGTTTTAGTGTTCGTATTGGTCATCAGTCCTCCTCTAGTCTACCTCTAAATTGTGGAGTCCCACAGGGATCAATCCTCGGCCCGATATTGTTTATCCTGTATATGCTACCTCTGGCCTCCATTTTTAATAAACACGGAGTATCCTTTCATTTATACGCTGATGATACTCAGATCTACTTTCCGTTAAAACATAACGACAAAAATGGTTTAAAATCCCTGTTGGCCTGTTTAAATGAACTTAAGCTTTGGCTGTCAAGTAATTTTCTAAATTTAAATGAAAATAAAACCGAAATCATTTTATTTGGGCACAGGGAAAACTGTGTTCTTGATGCTGACCGTGGTCCACTTGCACCTTGTGAAACTCAATGCGCTAGAAATCTGGGCTTTCTGTTCGATCATAACCTAAAATTTGATAAACAGATCAGTGCTGTTGTAAGATCGTGCTTTTTTCATCTTCGCCAACTTTCTAAAGTGAAACCTTTTTTAGCAAGAGTAAGTTCCAAACAGTGATCCATGCTTTTGTTACATCACGTTTAGACTATTGTAATTCTCTTTATGTTGGTGTCTCTTACTCTTCCCTCTCCCGTCTACAGCTAGTGCAAAACGCAGCTGCTAGACTTCTCACTGGGACCCGTAAGTACGAGTCGATCACCCCGGTTTTATCATCACTGCACTGGCTACCTGTCAACTTTAGAATTGATTTTAAAATTGTATTATTTGTTTATAAAGCACTCAACAATTTGGCCCCTCAGTACCTTACTGATCTACTTCGCCCGTACACTCCCTCTAGTCTGAGATCTAGCGACCAATGTCTACTCATCGTGCCTAGATCTAGACTTAAAAAGCGAGGTGATCACGCCTTCGCAACTGCGGGCCCCAAACTTTGGAACAGCCTACCTCTCCACATTAGATCAGCCTCGTCTGTTTCCTCCTTCAAATCTTCTTTAAAGACATATTTATTTTCCTTGGCCTTTAATACTGCTTAATTTAGGTAATTATGGTTTATCTATTGTTGTGTTTTCCTTTGTTGGTAGTTTTTATTATTATTTTGTTTTATTCCATTCTGTACGGCACTTTGGTCAGCCTTGGTTGTTTTTAATGTGCCTTATAAATAAATATTGTAATATTGTACTTTTGTTTAATTGAAATTTTGATGTTTTTGTACAAGGAAAGTAAATATATACTGTATATAAAATTTAATTTTTTCAATATCTCATTGCTTTTAGACAGCTGTGTAATTAAATGGGAAGAGAATTCCAATTCCCACTTTTTTTTCTCCTCAGACAAAGTACCTAATCTCGGATATGTCTGGTCAAAAGAGATCTCAAAAGTTTCACAAACTGTTCTCAGAAATCTTAAAGAATTCAGCAAGTCTGAGATATCTTATTTCCCAACAAATTATTCCAATATTCTTAGATAATGATGTTGTTTCTAATTATATTTAGTCACTAAACAAAAGAATCGGAGCCAAAACTGATATTTAAATGTAAATATCAACAGATTTCCCCCCAACAAGCTTTTTACCTATGTATAGGCTTTCATTTGCACCTCAGTTGTGTTACATGTAGAATGAAAAATATTGAACAAAAATTATATCCATTTTCCCCAATTCTGTTCTTATCAGTATCTGATAAGATACTGTCAGCTTATTTGAACACATATTCAAATAAGCTGAAATCAGCCACCTTACAAAATAGTTTATGCAATAAACAAACAGGCACAGGGATCTGTAGAATTTTGAATGAGGGGAGTTCCAGTTTCTGTGGAAATCTGCAGAGTTTTCAGTGAAGTTCTGTGGGCCACAGAATCTTTGTGGACATGCATGAACATTTTTCTCAAATTACCCAACTTTTTCTTACTCAGTAAACTAAATATTTGCTCTCAGTATTTAGGAATCAACTATAAAGTATTGTATCGTGATATTATTATACATTCTTTTCCCATTCAAACTGAATTTAAATGGGGCTAAAAAAGTTCCAACAGTCTTGATAATTTAAAAAAATAATACATGACTTATAACATTGGTGTACCTGACAATTTTATTATTAAAAGGCAGTTCATATTGGAACCTGTTATAATCATCTTCCTCATCTTGTGACAACTGGAGTTTTGCAGACCCTTAAATCCATCATCAGTTTATGGGACTCAATTAGCTCCACAAGAGCTCACTGATTAACAAACAAGAGGAATCACATGATCAGCTACTGTGGAGTGCAGTGATCATTCCTCTGATTAACATTAATGGCCACCTAATGGCCACCGATTTGTCAAAACATGATGCCATGCCAGTACTTTTTTTAAGACACTTTGAGTGATGCATAAGCTTTTCGGTGTTTTCTGTGCACATTCTGTATGTTTATGTGATATTGGCCTTGATTATATCTATGTGATCATTATGTAAACACTGGCTACTCATTAGCATAAAAAAAAAGAGTTTTCTTCTTATCAGCTTGATAAGCCAACACAGAGCCCAAGTT